TCTTGTCGATCCTTAATGGAACGATTGTGAGGCGTTCTCTCTATTTAGTACTCGAGTACTCTCTATTTACCGTTAAAAGATCACACCTAGCTTCAAATAATCGGGCAGACACTTGGGAATTAGATCTGGTGTTAAAACAGCTGCAACGGTGGAGCAAGCACGAACATTCAGAACCCGAAAAATACTTTTTGAAAGTCCGTCAAGCAATTTTATGTCATTAATGTGTGTTTTCAAGCTTGTTTAATGTTTGCAAACTTGCGTCCCAGTGGTGACAACACTTGAGGTGTTTTGTGATGGGGATGAGTGCAAAAAAATAAGTTCTATCCGTCGTTATGCCCCGGAAAGTAGGGATGACCCTTTTAAAGTATAGTCTACTCTGATTATCCCTCTTTTCTGTATGTTTAATTCAACCTCCTTTCCCCTCTTTTTTTTCTTTCTTAAATTTCAGGACGGTAGCTATCATGATAAAGCTGTAAAATATGTTTATCATAATACTTTAACAGTTCTGTTTTGTTCTAGAATCGAGTAGCAGAATGAAAAACATTCACATTTTTTGTAGTAGGGAACAAATAGCCAAGTTTCAATTCACAAAACGGTGACAAACATGACGTGTCGAGATAATTGACAGAAATTACAAGACTTCTTTCGAAAATCTTTTCTCTTGAGGGAAAGAAAAACATCCGATTTACTTACCCTTTGCGACATCAGTATTCAATCACCCTGAAAATTAAAGAAAAAAGTAAAGACCAAGAAAAACATTCAAGTGTTTCTTTGCAGAAAATAAGATTACCCTTTAGGCTATCAACCTAGATCCATTCATCTGAAAGAGAAAACGTTTAAGGTTTGTATGTGACCTACTGTATGTGTTTGTTATACAAAGAGAGCTTATTAGATATAAAATACTCTGCTCTCGGGATACTGTACGAAAGAAAGTTGTTCAACGACTTGCAAAATATGTTAAAAACTCAACCGTTCAGACGTCATTATCTTACTTCCCACCTCTCCCCGAAGAAAAAATAAAATTCCTAATGTCATCAGAATTCCACTCAAGGAACTTAAGGAAACTCAGAGTGGGAAGGAGTTGGAACATGATTTTAATTCAAGGGATTTAAATAGTGCAATTTGGGGTGGGAAATACAGAACAAAAGATAAGTACAATACACAGCCCATGAGCTATATAGAGCAAACGTCGATTATAATGATTGACAGTTGGTAGTGCACCTAGGCTACGTCTACGACTAGAAAAGGATCGTTCAAAGTTGGCGCTATATGGAAAAACAACATAATGTATTAATACAAAAATAGGAAATCTTATCGGATATCATAAGCTAAATCATAAACTATTGACAATAAAACATGAAAGCAACATGTGCATGAATGTGATGTCAGACGTAATGCTTTAGTTAAGAGGAAAAATTACTTTTTTTCAAATTCCTTTATGGTATGTCACAGCCTTTTTATATGTAAATTAGGATTAGGAATTACTAGTAATACATGGCTCGTATTTTTTCTCTTTTCACGAATGGTCTTATAATGATTATAATACAAATAATAGGTTCATTTATATAGCGCAGCCAATATCAATATAATTTACTACGAAAAGGTTAAATTCCAATGGCATTTGAAAGTATATAGTATATTTGTAAAGCGCTTAGAGACATTTGTATTAAGCGCTATATAAAAAAATTAAATATTATTATTATTATTATTAAAGACAATACTAATTTAGAACTTCCCTCAAAGCGAAAGGGTTTGAAAATGGCTTTTAATGACAAAATAACGACCATTAGTTGTCGAATCGACTTAAGTGATTGCAATCACTTAAGCAATAGTCTGATTTGCAGACTCTTTTACGAATGGTTGTACGGTTTGTGCTGCACAAAGAATCAATCAGTTAAATTTTGGCTACGACAAGTAGTGGGTTATTGCAGTAGACAAATGCTCATGTACCTGTTACAGCTCATTTTATGTATGTTGTTACCAAAGAAAAAAGATGTAAGTCAGTCACTCAATAGTGTCTGACAGTGAAGTCTAGAAGGTAAACGGGTTTCCTTGCATAATTTGAATACTAGGACACTGGTAATGTTTAAATTTCACAGATAGGACATACATGACATATTCATAATTCCTGCAAAGTTCTTCAGAATTTGATGTTGGCTGCAAAAGGGACATAGTATCTTTAATACATGGTATCATATTATTACCCCGGCTCTAGCTGAGCTGCCATAAGACGCTACCTACCGGGTACCCATTCACTCCACCTGGGTGAAGAATGGCAAATGTTGATTAATGTCTTGTCAAAGTGTCGCAGCGGGACTCGAACCGCGAACCATGTGATCTACAGTCCGACAAATTAAACACTATTACAAGAAATGTAGGCATTAAGAGTATGTTCCTAAAGGCCTAGGGTAACGGATTTTAAAGTTTTAAAGCAACCATAAGTTTGAAAACTCGAAGCGAAATTGTTGCGAAAAAAGAGAAAAATAACAATGTAAGGTGTTTTTACTTCTCCCTCTCTTTTCTTGCTGATGACTTCACTTCCGTCACTCTGTGTTTGATAAATGCACACCGAGCGATGTAATCCCCTTGGAGGAATGTATTTCAAGTACTTACCATCGCTATCAATAATATTAAAATCTGAATTCATTTACATGTCTTCATCCATGCAATGTCATCATGGACCCTGAGGTGGTGAATTGATTGGGTTATTGACCGAGTCATGACTGGGACTTGACTCTGAAATTTGACAGAGTCCCACCTCTATATTAAAGACAGTTAAATAATTCTTATGGTCTATTTGGATTACTGTTTGAAACTCAATAAGTAATGTCACTTTCAAAACATTGCATGCTCATACTCCCCCTCAACTATACGTCAAAGCTTTTCAATCCTTGATGCCTGTCTCGTTTTGAGAATGTTTTTAAAATGCATATCAAACAACGAAAAGCATGTTGCTCACAAAGAGCACGACACATTTGCATGACAGTTATTCACGCATATGAATTTCGTGTCTCCCGATCAGATAAAAAAAAGTCACAATACTAAAAAGTGAAGAAGGTTTTTGTTGCACTTTTGTTGTTGATGGCTCTTGTACACGCCATGTTATGTCAACAGTTTAATGTTTTCTTCCATTGTAATTATTCGTTGTAAACCACCAGCCAAGTTTGATTTGAATCGATTACCTTTGATACCACTTCCTTCAGCTTGTCAACTGTGTCCCGCCTAGAGGTAACTTTGCGGCTTGCTTCGTGGTTTTCTTATGAATCCAAACTGTGCGACGGTTGTAAGCCAGAAAGTGGCTCGTTGTTATCAATGTTACGCCAAACTGCGCCAATCGCACCTACGACGATTGGTTATGATATTTTTTTAGAAGGCGTTTCACCTCGTATTAGGCTAAATAAGAACATATTGGTTCAGCTCGCTCTTTAAAAAAAAGGTATAACGCTGTTTAGATAGAGTTGGAAATAGTGTATACATTGTTGGGGAAATCATTTTGCGTATTCCACATTTTAAAGTCAATATAGGCGATGGTGTTTATCACATTTTAGACGTATATTGTTCTGAGTTAACATCAAACTATATCTTTATGATGTACGGTTTATATTAATTTTCAATATGGCTCAGACTTCTACGAATCACGATTTTGAGGAATTAATTTTCCAAAATGTTCATTTATTTTCTATTTATCCTCACCTAACTATAAAGAAACATTTGGAAAATATCCTGTTGAAAAGAATTATTGAAATATAAGTTTTTGTTCAAATACAATTTACAGTCTCTTTTTTCTTCTTTTTTTCTTCTTTATTTCAGCGTAAAATGCAGTTTCCTATTCCCAATCTTGTATTTTTTATATATATATTTACAAATATCACCACATGAGACTAATATTTTATCCATCCCCGCAGAAAAGAGATTTACGATAATAACCTAGATTTAAAGAGAAGGTCGAGTTCTGGGGAGAGGTGACAAATAATATGTGAGCGTTATCATTGTAATTATGAAGTATGAAAGAACATGATATAATTTTTCCCCTGAAAAGCATGTCTCTTCAAATGCCTCCATATTCTAAATATGACAATTAACAGTTTAAAAATAAGGTCCCTTTTTTACGCCACATGTTTCCCATAAACATCTTTCTGTGTACAGTGCTTGGTACTTTACCAAGACTGGGCCAAATTTCTCATCATTTTGATGACTCTTAAACCTTGCAGAACACACCAATACTTATATGCTACATGATCAACTTTATCTGATCGACCGTTTCTTTCACATCTCAACTTTATCTTTAAGTTACCATCTCAGAAGTATCAAAATCATCAAGCTGCTCACTTTTAACAGTATCATATTAAAAAAGATAATCGTTTATTAAACCTACTACCATTAACAGGTATGAATATCAATATGTCATATTGATGAAACTATTTTTTACGTCCAGAATAAACATGAGGGACTTTTAAAAGGTTATCTATCCAAGAAGAAATATCACCCCTCCCGCGCATTTTCGTATCTTCATTCCACTGTGATGGAAAGATGTTTTTAATCGGGATCACTTGGGAAAACTAATAGGAGTTTCGCTGTTCCTTTTTTCTTCCCCAACGAAGCCGCCTTTGCCCAAAATCAACGAAGAAAACAAATCGTCAAGTTTACCCTGCAATATCTAAGCTTTCTGTTTGAAATTGGAAATTATGATCTGAACTATAAGCACATCTCAAGTCCAAAACCACCTTCATACTAACGTTTATTTCGTCTCTATTGGGGCACCAGTTAACATCAAATCAATGGTTCAAATAACAGTTTGGAGACATCTTTTAAACCAATTAAAAAAAAATCAAACTCTGATTTTCTATATGACAAACAACAAGAAAATCTGTTAAAAAATCTACATCGGGATAGGCTACTTTGTTTAGGTCCTGCCGAATGCCACACCTCTTCATTGGTTTTCATATTTTATTGTCATATTAATTTATATATTGTTTCTCTTTCTAATTTTACCCAAAAAGCGATGCAAAGACAAACTGAACACGTTAGCCATAAGTGTAATGAACGAATGGCCCGGGATTAAACTTCGCGTGGTAGAGGCATGGGACGAAGACCAACCGAACGTAGAACCGCTCCATGCTGAAGGAAGAGCAGTAGACATCACCACCAGTGACAGAGACAAGAACAAATATGGCGCTCTAGCTCGCCTGGCCGTAGAAGCTGGCTTCGATTGGGTCAACTATGAAAGTAAAGCCTGGGTTCATTGCTCCGTCAAGTCAGGTACGAACAAGAAGCTTTTAAATTTGAAAACGATCGCGAACACTTTTAAAACATAATAACCTCAAGGACAATTTCGTTACTTTGTTGTATTGCCAATATGAATAATGTTGGGATTAAGTACTACGTCACTGTAATGTTAGCAAATCACAGTAGGTGATGCATAAGTCTATTGATATAGTCTTAGTTTGGATTTTGTTTCGAAATATTTGCCAACGTTTTTGTGGATAATTGTTATTAAAATATATCATGAAAAACGGTACCAATAATAATAAGAATATATGGAAACACTCCTTTCCTCAAAGCTACAAGAATGAGTCGTAGCGTGTCATTTTCCGTCTTCTAGATTTGACCCAGATCTTCTAAGATTCAAGCTGAGTGTCCGATAACTTTTGTGAAGGCGACAGTCTATCTCAATGGATTTTGAATTTATCCCAAATCCCGAATTATTTTTTATAAGAATATTGCAGGCAAAGTTGAGAAAAATCAACATTTTGCTCCTCAAAGTTCCCGTAGGTCCCTTGAAATCAGATTATCGGGTCGTTACCCTTTTCATAGAAAAAATTGGGGAAAAGTATTTCGCACAAAATTTGAATGAAAGGATGTGTTTTCAGGTCGTGTAAATATGACGATAAGACCTAAAAATGGGAGCCTGGAATCGTGGCTATTCTTGTTGAGATATGATTGGCGTGTGTGTCTTTGTGGCCTCAGACTTGGTGCTTCTGACACTATTTGCTCTCGTGCCACCATGAACCCAAGAGAGGGTTCTCTTTGACACCGTCCTGGCTAAGATGGTATTATCGTCCTGCCTCGTCTCAGGGAGGTAGGCCACCTGGGACTAGGGTGGCTGACTCCGTGTGACCCCATCATCATATTACTGACCATGGTTGCCTGATCCGAGGCAACCACGATCTTTCAAGTAGACTTCTTTTTTTAGACACTGGCTTTCCCATCCTTCACCTGAGGATTGGTTGCTGATTATAGATAGGATCTGAATCCCCATTCTATAAAAGCAAGCAAAAAAAATTCTTAAAAGCAATCTGTATATTTGCATCTCCAACAACTTAAGTCCTTTGTGCTTGTTATTATAGTGGACAAGGAAATTTGATTGGCAACCAAAAAAAAATTATTAGATCATTTTATCATATAGATATTTACAAATCATTTATTGCCTCAGAATCTTATATTTTTTAAAGTGGTAGATCATTGCGAGTCTGGTAGGCCACATTTGCTATACTGTCATATCTGGGTATACATTTTCAATAGGAACAAGGAACAATGATTGTATGACTTTACTATATATCGGGTTTTTTATAGCAAATGGAGCTAGCTGATGCAATATAATTCCATTACAGAATAGAATGGAAACGAGTTACATTTGGGCATTCTGTACGCCTGTTCCTTATCTTCCTTTCTTTCTCTTTATCCATGTCGTAGAATCTGCAGCAGCCAAGAATTCCGGAGGTTGTTTCCCAGGATTTTCTCAAGCATCCCTCGAGAACGGGCGCACCATAAGTATGTTGGACATCAGGGTAGGTGATGAGGTAGCCGTGGTCAACGATGACGGGGCATTGGACTATAGCGATGTCATCATGATAGTACATAGAAAACTCAACGACAGTACATTATTTTACGTTATAGAGACCGAAGACAAATCAGTAGTACAACTCACGCCACAGCATTTGATATACGTCTCAGAGACGGAGTCTAGCTTCAGCCAAAGTAAAGCCATGTTTGCCAGCGAAGTTCGGACTAATCAATTTGTTTATACAACAGGACAGAACCACGACAGGGGGGTACGGCCGAAGAGAGTGGTCAGTGTAACGACGAGGTTGGGGCGTACGGCTGTGGCGCCGGTGACCAGGCAGGGATCCTTGGTAATCGACGACGTAGCGGTATCATCGTACGCCGTCATGCGTGACGAATGGATCGCGCACGCATCATTCGCGCCTGTCCGGTGGTACAGTTACATCAGGCATAATATGTTGGGTATCGTAGATACAGATACAGGACAAGAACAACGGGTACATTGGTACACCCAAGGACTCTACAAACTCGGCAAATACGTCATGAGTGATAGATTATTTCTAGGCTTTGATGTATAGGTTGACCCCCTTTCTGAACAGTTGGGACAATAAAAACCACTTCACATCACTTGACCGACTGGCTGGAACTTAGAGTGAGAGGGGGTGCAAACATATGATTTGTTTTATTCTGTGACTCATTGTTGTATGTTTGCTGTTGACGGGAATTGTGGGGTAGGAAAAAGGTAGTCATAAATTTCGGTTCAAGCCACAGTTTCAGATAAGGCACACATCGGAGGTAATGTGTTGATACAATAAGACTTTCCTCCATCTATGCACCCCATTGATTAACTAATACATCATTTTACAGTATAACTGTTTGACCTTCTCCATACGGTAAAGACAAATTATACCATACCATATGCAATATTATATATTGTATTATGAAAAAAAGAGAGTTACAATGAACAAAATAATCAATTTACACATTCATGATAAATCATGTAGCCAGCAATTGAATGCTCCTCATATTTTATTCCCTCTGATCCATGTACCTAACCAGAAGCAAGGTAGTGGTCGATATGGGCCATATGCAAAGAGTAGAAGGTCACTTTTAGATGTCAAAAAACATAAAAAACGCATATTTAGGAATACCAGAGTTATATTTTCCAGACTGTTAAGATATTGATGTACCTTTTATTCTTGTTGATGCTGCATTAAATGCAGTGGTGTTCAACATCAGCTAACAATCATTGTCGGTCTGTACGAGGAAAGACGTATCCTCTGTATTCATACTGTGCAGTCATTCCTCCATGTATGTTAGGGCCCCTTGCAGCGAACCACACATTGATAAATATTGTCTGGTTGGCATGTAGGCCAAACAAACGAGAACTGTCTATATTTTGCATAAAGTCATATGTCATGTTACTTGCTTTCAATATAGAACGTATGTATTTATTCGGCTTTGCTCCTGTACAAATTGTTTCAAAATGTTATATTATCGTTTTCTAAATGACTCGATGTATTCAAGTATTGTATAGCGTTTGAAATTAACTTCCAATGTCAAACACTATGTTCCTGTGATTAATTATATGTATAAAAGTGATATTCTTTTGATATGAATAGAAATGTACTTGAAAATGCTAATTTATTATATAAACGAAATTGCCAAGGTATTTGGGCAATTTTGAAAACGTATGGTTGTCTCCTTTGAAAATAGATCTTTTTTATATGTATAGTTGTGTAATTTGTAAAATTTCGATCAATAAACTTTCGAAATTCGTTTTTCTCTAAGAAAATTACCAATGTCGTATTTTAGTTCATTACTGCAAGCTATGAACAGATGCATCTATATATGTATTGCCGACTAATGTACATATCATCAATTATGTTTCTCAGCGGTCTTGTGTACAGGCATAGCATCATGTAGTAACGAATGTCGCCAAGTTCATTTCGTTTTTCAACTATTCTATGACAAGACATTCCCTCCATTAAATCAATGCCCAATCTAATATGTTATATTCTAGGAATAATTCATTTAAGAAAACAAGATATTTCAATTTTTCATGAGTTACCAAACGCGAGACAGTAACCTTGTTTTTAAATTATTATGTTTTTGTACACTTCTACCTCTGTTTGTCACACTAAATGACCGAATGCACCAACGTATACAGTAGCGTTTCTTAAATGGCAAATTGTTCTTGACAACCGAACGTTGCAGGACTTCTTTTCATTCTTTAAATCATATCAACCTAATCAAAGGCAATGCCATTTAGTAAATTCTAATTAATATATGGAGTAATAGAAAAATACGATATTTCATGATACTTCCATTTCACTCACAATGAACGAAAATTATATTCACAATAGTTTCCTTTTTTGGCTGATAGTATTATGGTCAGTGAATTAAATCCTTTTCTAACCGTATACCAATTAGGCACCCGTGAATTTCACTTGGGTCATTTGTTACTCATTAGCTATGACCAGGTCAACTCAAATCATATTAAAGTAGATATTGATCTGAATGATTGGGTTATCAACCTTCCAAGCGAATCTAACTGTTTCATTCTATTCGTAGTATTTATTTTGGTTAGGAAAGGCAGGACGACCCATGCACAGATGTATAGGATAACCCTCAAAGTTTATCATTATGTAAATGGCTGTATTGCCCTACTACCAGTTACAATTTATAGATATTACACAGTATATATTCAATGAATGAATGGTCATGGAAGACAATGAAAGGGTGTTAACAATACTGATAAGAAGGACGATTGTAATACCTTAAGTCATAGAAATAACTGTACAGTTGATTAGTCACCCATGGTGTTGGAGTAGTCTGTCCTTCATTTGGTTATAGATTCACTTAAATCGCTAACAAACACTATTCATAAATGAGATTTGTTTACTCCTTCATCCAAAGTCCATAGATCACACACCACTCTCATTATGTTCTAATATCTTTGATACATAATTGTATTAGGTAAAATTTACAAGTTTTATTTACGCAATATTTTTTTTCGACAGGAAAACGTCTAATTCAGTGATGTTTTAATTTAGTTTCAAAATAATTAAGGGTGAGACCCTTCTCTGCATCTCTTCTCGCTAACAAATATTTTGGGTAAAAACCATTCACCTATCATATAGAAAAGTGAAAATAGTAATGTAGGAGAAATATACCTGACTTTCAATATATGAAATATGCATGCCCCCTCCCCCTCCTCCCCTACAACAAAAGTACAACAACGCACAAACTAAAAGATTTGTTCTCAAAGATCAATCCTAAGAAATGGAGAAAAAAGTGTCAGCAATCAATTCATGATTAACATAACATAATGTCGTATTAATTTTGTATGTTTGATTTGCTGGCAGACAAGCTACTTTTTAAAAAATAGGATGAATTTGAACGTAAGCATAACATAATGTTGACAATATGAAAACACTGCGTTCACACCGTAACGCAATGCTGTCACAGTGATAATCACAAATCCATGAATCACAGGGAGACCAGAATAGGGATTCGGTACACTCATATTGAGTTGACGATATGAATACACTGTATTCACACCATAACACACTGTGGTCACAGTGAGGATCACCAGAGCCATAGTCGGCCGCAATAAAGATTTGGGACATTGTCATAGTGTTGAAAATATGGGTACACTGTGTTTACATTTCTAAACAATGTAGTCACAGTAAGAATCATAAAGTACACACATCAAAGTGTGGTCAAACTAAGGCTTTGGAACACTTTCATATGGTTGACAGTAAACTTTAACACAATTTGGTCATAGTGAGATTATCATACTGAATCACGGTGAGACCACAGTAAAAATGGATTGGTGCACGCCATAATATTGATAATATGCACAATGTGAACCCGAAAACAAACCTAAGAATCATAATGCGTGTGCAGACATGGAGTTCACACTGTAATCCACTATAGTCACATTGAAAATCAAATAATGTACATGTATAAATCACATTTTCTTTCACTTTCACAGTGTTGAAAATATGGTCAAACTGTGTTCACACTGTAACACGGTGTGGTCATAGTGAATACTTGGTACACTCGACACTAATTTCAACGTTATATATTAAGAAATGTGTTCACACTGTGGTCACAAAGAAAGGAAGAATTTACACCTTATATTGTTACCACAGTGAGGATTTAAATAATAAATGTATACTAATGTGTTGATTGTTTGTACCGTGTACAACACGCTAGTCACAGAGAGAATCGCAAAGTGTAAACAACACAGTGTGGCAATGCTGAGAATCTAGAATACTTTCATAGTGTTGAATGAACACACTCTGTAAACACCTGTTCACACCGTTTCAACAGAGACATGCCTCTGTTTTATGATATATTCAAACTTCTTCCACAATGTGGATCACTATATTTATGGTGATGTGAGGAGTGCCAGTAGGGACTTAGATCAATAACCAACAGACCTTTGATCTCGGCATATCCTTCCGACCATATCAGATATGATAGACCAAGGAATTTGAATATAATTATGAGATTCTGTATTCAAAATTAAATATTGGTTTTTGTGTGCAAGCAGTCAAAGGAAAACATTGCTTAAATACTGTAAAATGCTTTGAATCTTCTTATACATTGCAATAAAAATAACTCATGAAATCAAAAAGAAATAATCTTGTGTGTGCCTTATTGTTTTGCAGTCACTATTCTGCTCTTTGAAACATATCTTAACATAATTATTCCATGAGCTAGTAAAGGGACTATTAAGGTTACTGCTGTCACAGACAAGGTTCTCGTGGGCAGTGTCCCAAAGTGACTGAAATACACTCTCTATCACGGTGGGTAAACATATATGTATGGATAGAATCTGCTATGTGTTTGAGACAAAAGAAAGAAAAGTTTCTAAAGCGAAAATGAACCTCAAGAAGTCACACGTGACGTGTACGAATCCTGGGATCTCACAAAACCATAGAATCTCATTGGAAGATGTGATACAGGATTCGATCGACAACAAGTCCCACACGATAAAAAATGACGTAACAGTTATAAATTCTAAATTCTATATACATACGTGATTACGCGTGGGTAGAATATAACCCATCGATATAAATCAAATGACTTTTCTGAACTAATATCAATATTTGAAGAAACTCTGTTTGAACTAAACCGGAACAACACTTGACAACTTTAACAAAACATGTCTAAAGTAGTCCACTAATTGATTTAAACTTCGTCTAATCAGGTAAGTTGGTCAAACTCTTCCCCAAACATCCGAAATAAAGGGCATTGTAAAACCACTGTGTTGTCCGACGTGGTCAAAGAGGTTATGGATAATACCAGTGTTCAAATTTAGCTGGGGAAAAACACCGAGGACTGAGAGCAGATGATATTAAACTTGCTGCAGATTTGATATGCCACACACCATGTTCTTAAATCAACGTGCTTCGAATATGCAACGAGCGCATTACATCAGTGAGTCGAACATGAAAAGTTGATTTCCTACAGATATCATATCACGAGTATGTGAACAACCCTCTTCTATTTTAAAGGAAAGGCAAAGTAGCATTATATCAAGAAATCAAAACAAGTCAACAAT